TGCATTGGAAGGAACAAGAGATCCATTTATTTGAATGTACTTGCCTATAATACTTCTATTCGCCTTTCTCTTTTCTGATGGTGAGCTCTCAGGTAGCTGGGATGTTGCTATTCTGAGTAACCCCAGTAGCATCCCTGGAGACAATTCTAGCTCAACCACTCTGAAGAAACAGCTCTGTAAACAGTATTGACCCCCCTGGGGACCATCAAATCCATTTACACAGATACCAGTTGTCACAAACTATTTACAAAGCCAGATAGAACAGAATTTCCCAGCCTCTAAGAATCCCTATTTGATTCCAGCCACCTCCTCACTGATGTATACTAGTTGTGAATAACAGTTATTTTTTGGCTATGAGTCATTTCTTGGATAGCATCAATTCAACTGAGTATATTATACATTAATGTGTAATTGTCTGGAGAATTGAACTCAAAGGGGATCCTAAAACTTTCTTTCCTAAGATAGGAAATCGTATGATACTGTTAATTTTCTAGACTATGGAATTGAGAATTTAATAAAATGCTAGCATTAAGATAGTTGCAACAGTGATAATTCCAGAAGTAAAGAGAGAGTTTGTTGGATCATGAAAGTGGTCCATTGGAAATAGCGTGAAAGTCACTAGAGAGATACAGCATATAATGCAGCCAGCCTAGGCACATATATTAAATAGTAAGATTCCAAAAAAACAAATCTTCAATAAACCCACCCACTTGCCCAGGTGAATAAACTGTCCCTAGCAATAGCTGTAGGTGTCATTTGAGGAATACCTTGTAGCAATCTTCCATAACATCATTTTCAGTGGTCACAGGATAAGTTTACTTGGAAGTGGGAACATTAGATAGTAATAGCAAAAATTGGCAAATATATTTGGTTTGAAGTATCAAATTCCTACGTCCAAATAATACAGTGTGCCCACAGAAGAGCAAATAAATAAAGGAATTGATAGTCGTAAAAAAATATCCTATTGCCTAACTCTGAAGAAAGAAAGACCTCATAGACTTATGAAGAAGAAATTGAAACTTTATTCTCTAAGTCCATATGAAGAAATGAATTTAAATAGTAATAACAGTAATAATGATGAAACAATTAATGATGACATTGATTAAACAATGAAGCAAATTACAGAAGTTTATAGCGTTTCCATTTAAAACCATGTGATGAGCGAGAGGAATCAATAGAAGTTTTTGTTTTAAGCTTTCATCTGTCTAGAGAAAAGAGTTTGCATCAGAAGTGAATATCTTCTTTAAAAAATTTGTCTTACCTAATTGACTAGTGTGCAAAACAGGCCCATAACTTTACTTTTTGTTGCATTTTGTTGACTTATATATTTCTATTTCTATATATAATTCTTTTTCAAGTGATAAGCAATACAAATAGCTCTACTAAAAGCTTTTAGTAGCCTCATTTCATTAGCACTTCATAAAGATCTTCTGAGCCATAAAGCTTAGGGAAAATAATTGATGACTGAATTAGAGTCACCAAGGGCTATTATCTTTTCTTGGTTGGAGAAGGTACTAACTCAGAAATTGAATTTAAGTTGGTCTTGGAATAGGTTAAAAAAAAAAAAAGAAAGAAAAAAGCAAGATGCAATTTGATAGAACAGTATCTTAAAATCTGACTTTTGAAAAATCAAAATGTATCATGCCTACAACTTACTCTCAAATGTTTCAGAAAAATTGTATATGTGTAGGTAGGTAGGTAGGCAGGCAGATAAATAGATACAAAGAGAATGAATAATAAAGTGTAGTAAAATGTTAACATTTGGGGAATCTGGGTGAAGGTTATATAGGAATTCTTTGTACTGTTATTGCAACTTTTTATAAGACTGAAATTATTTCAAAATAAAATGGTAAAAAGAAATGACTATTATCTACAATCAGTTCTTGTCACCTTTCTCATCTGTCTTGTCTTTAGCATGTTTATATATACAGTCCATGAAGTCTTTAGCATTTGGCTCTCATTTCTCCTTTCCATTTCTTGCCGTTTTTCTGGATGACTTCAGTGTCTTCAGAAGTGACGCTTTCATTACCCTAATTCCTTGATTTCCTCCTCTCGAATTACCTTCACGAACATCAGTCTGTTTCATCATCCCATTCCCAGATGAGCCACATCCTGGACTTTTGACATCTTACTCATTTTAACAATTTTTACTCCCTGACTGTAACATCTTGTCCTTTTGATATGAGGAATGACTTTGTGTTTTTCCTAAAGCTATTCATTCCCTGTGCCAATGCCTGTTCTTCCTGTTCTGTTCTTATTCTCACAGTCTGTCAACTTTTTCTTTACTTAACCTAACGCAAACCCTTTGGCAGTTCATTACTTTGCATATTCCTCCTTGTTCTTGTCTGGAACAAATGCCTGTGTGAAGTCTTCCTCAAGTTTCCAGTTGAGCATCAGCATATCTAGCATATTTTGTATTTGGTCTCTAAAGTCCTAGCAGAGTTCTTACCACATTGTACTCAAGTCATTAAATTTGTTTGCCTTCCTCACTGTACTATAGAGTCCTGAGGGGAGAGAGTCTGTTTATTACTTCTCTAAATTTTTCTAGTACTTATCATGGACATATCACACTGCAGGTTTCCCGTGAATTATTAAATTCGTTAAAAATTAATGAATAAATAAATTAATTAGAAGGGTCACACTTTCTACACAAGTGGTTGAATTCTGATATAGAATAATGCAGTATGGCAGAGTAGAAGATCCTTGAGAGCATTCAGAGGATTTAAACAATATTTGTTAAAATAGTTAGTTTAAAAAAAAAGCAGACAGAAAAAAAGCTTTTGTAAATCAGCCTTGTTTACTCTAGGACTTGTTGAGTTCATTTTGATAATACTATAAGGGGTTTTAATTACCGTGATCTAGGAGGGATCAACAAAGATTCCTCTTGTTGGGAAGCCCCCATCTCTGCCCTGAGTTTGGAGGTGATAGCACAGTCACAGGTGAAAAGGCAGTGATTTACCAAGAAATCAACGAATCACAAAATTTGACATTAAGTAAGCTGAAGTAAGAAAGAGAGTTATAACTGTAGGAAGCAAATAGCAACTATAGATAGCAATGTTGGGGGGTAAACACTGGAAGGTTAGGAATAAAAAAAACTGAAAGGAGAAAGATGCTAAACTAGACCCAGAAACAGAGGTAAAAAAACCCAACAAGTTGTAGAGAATGCTAAGTTTGGTTTCAGAAACAGGTCATAGAGTTGAGATTTAAGATTCTGAACGGTTCGTGTAGTGTTGTCGCAGGGAACTGGGGCTGTTTATAGCTGACAGTACTCCATGCCTCATCCTTTTACTTTGTAGTAATTCTTTGTACCTCATAAACTGGAGAATAGTATAGGCCCTAATAGTTAGTTACCTTTTTGATGTCCCTGGGGACAATTTTTGTTATTTGATATTGCTTCCAGTAACTATTTATAATTTTCTTTTGTTTGAATTACTTATAATGTTCTATGTTAATGTTAGAAAGCATAGATTGTTAATGATATAGTGGCATTCCTTAATGATATAGTGGCATTCCTTAGTGTCCATTTATAGAATCTCTCATTCAGATTTTGGGGGTTCCATCCTACCAATACCAGCCTACTCTAGAAAAGTAGCATGATGAACATCTAAAGCAAACCAAGTAAGCATTTTGAGATGTCAGAAAGCAACCTAAATAATCTCCAGAAACCTAAAATCATTAAATTTTAAATCAAAACAGAATATGTTGAAAGTTCGCAGCCATCTTACAGTATGTAATTATGATAGCACATTTCTCCCAATTTGTTCTTTCAAGATGAAATCAAAGAGTAATTTACTAAAAATTATTTCTGATCTAGCTTCAGCCACCAATAAGTTATGTCCAGGACTTGAAGTTTATAACTGACTATACCTAATTTCAGCATACATACAAGCAAAAAAATGTCTCCTTAAAGAAAGAATACTTCGTGAGAGGTCCCTTATTTATAGATGCCTCATTTTATTTTATTCTGAAACTACTTTCTTGTGCCTTAGGACGATTTTAAGTTTGGCAGGTTGGCGAAGGCATAATCAACAAGCAGGTGCAATTCACCTGCTTTTTAAAATTCAAGAATTATTTCTGCTGGAAATAATAAAGTATTAGTTACAATCAGTATTTTTGCCTGTTGATCTTATTTTGTGCACGTGTGTGTGTGTGTGTGTGTGTGTGATATTTCTCTCAAAAAATCAGATATACACTATTCCTTTGAAATAGCTATTATTTACTAATTGCAGCTTAAAATAATTTTATGAGATCCCAGGCATTGAAAAATAGATTCTCTAATGTGTAATATATATCTGATAAAATGGAAGTTAAAAAGAACTCATGTTCATTTTATAATTTTATGATGATGATTACAAAAATGATAGCTGCCAGACACTAAGCCTGGTATTTTGGATATATTATTAATTCAGTTAATCCTCACAACAACTCAGGTAAGTGTTATTATGTTTCTATTTTAAAAACAAGAAACTGAAGCATGGATGGGTTAAGTTACTTGCCCAGAGTTATGCATTTGGCAAAGCTGGAATCTGAGCCAGGCAGTCTGATACCATAGTTCTTTGCACAATATCACTTCATTATAATCACTAACTTTTTGCAACCTATTTTTAAAAATTTAGGGAAAAAAATGTAATCTGAAAAATAATACCTCTAAATCAGTGTTTCTCATCTTTGATTTTGTGCTGAAGTCACCCAATCACTCTCAGACATTTTGATTTAATTAGTATAGGTATAGTCTGGGCTATAGGATTTCTAGACATTCCTCTGGTTATTCCAACCTGCAGCCAAGGTTTAAACCACTGTCCCGAATGCCCACTCGCTGTGAGAATGGAAATATTAATGGCAGAACTACACTGTACATGCTTACATGATTGCTGTAGGAGTAAGACTAGAAAGTACATGTTTAAAGCTATAAAATAATCCACAAAAATACTCATTTGAATGATTCAGTATGAGCTATGGTGTTACGTAATCATGTGTTTTTTGTATTGCTTTACATACAGATGTAGCCCATAGTTGTCTTGAACAGGAAACTGCAGAGAGAAATGAAACTACACAGCCAGCTGAGCAACTGACTGTGAATTCTAAGGGAAGCATGGATCAGAAATCCAATGAATTAGTTAATGAAGCCATATATGAAGGCATGGAACCGCCAGGGCAGAGATCAAGGAATTCTCCTTATCCGGGTGATGAGACATCTTTCTGCACTACTGAAAAATCCAAGTGAGTACTGGTAGCCTTAGATTTAGAAAGTAAGAATTGGGAGAACTGTTTCTTCCTCCCAACTTCCCTGCCTCCCCCCATTCTCCCTTCCTGCTTTTTGATGTGAGTGAAATTTGACTTAGTAGGGAATCTACCAGAGTTTTCTACTGTTTCCATTACATCAATGTGATGTGTCTAGATCACTAAATGAAAAAGCACAAGATGAGTTTGAATAAAAACCATGTGGTATTATTCCTTGTTGAATATTATTTTCTGTAACCTTTCATTATAGATTGGGAAATAACTCTTGAGTTGATATAAATGGGATATTATTAATCAGAGCCCCAAACTGTCAGCTCCAGGACAAAAGAAGCCAAAGATGTGTTCTGGTTTTGGTTAGCATTTAAATGAATCTGAATGCTTTTAGAAGGGCCTTCCTTGTACATTCCCATTTGTCTGCCTTATATTACATCCTGCAGCTCATCCCCATTCACCTTATGTACCTATCCTATGAAGGGATTTGCATTGGTGACACTTGTGACTTTTACCTATGGGATTATGGTTCTTTGATAATTAGTAATGTGTTATGAAAATACCTCTAAATTACAAAAATTTCAATGACTAATATATTTTCAGTCCAGGCAAAATCTTATTTTATAGAGTATATTTTAACAGGTTTGCATAGGAATACCTATTTCTATTTACTTAAAAATTTTTCAATAGCTATATTAATATTTTCCTACCTCTTAGCAATGAGTTATAGTCTTACTAAAGTACAGATTGGAGTACACTTTGGGGGAATATGGATAGGGATGAATGAAGAGGTGATAACATTTTATAACCACATGGAAAAAATAGAGATTGGGCGAAAGCCAGAGTATAAGATACCTAGTATAATTGCAGCAGAAGATATGCATGGTAGGTATTGCTGCATTTACTGTTTCAGGACTTACTGCTTAATTTCTTCTTAGAGACTCTTAAGTTTTACCTATGCGTACAAATATAATGTAATGACTTCAAAAAAAGAGCTTGTTTCCTCTCCCTTCCCTTCCTTTACACCACTTGCTAATAAGTTCATACTCTTAAATAGCATGCAAAATGTCACACACAAAAAACAAATTTGCTTACTCTTAAATGTTACAAGGAAAGGTTTTCATTTTTAATACATTTTGATTTAATAATGAAATTATATTCTGTCAGCCAAATTGAAAAAGTTATGATTATTGTTCCCATATTCAAAAAATGAGAATTGTATCTAGTCCTGACCAACAGGACCAATTAAATTAATATTCACAGCCTCTAAAACCCGAATTCTTTAAGTACACTGAACCATGAGTCTCTATAGACATTACTAAATGCTTTCCTCCATTAGCTCTCTCAGCTGATTAGCACGTCTGTGAAAGTGATATATTTATTCTTTTTATCTATAAGATTTTCTTAACAGTGCATAACAAGAGAAATTTAAAATTAAGTAACTATATATTATTTTTAAGGTTAAATTTGTCTCCCCATTTGAAGAGCAAAATTTGTAGATCCTGTGTAGTTGAAATCACATGAGTATATTGTTTAATGGTTTCCTTTATTACAGCATTATGGAACATACAAATAATGATTTGCATTATGAATCTATGACTCCATGTCGAGTTACTTCAGACTTCACTAACGAGAAGACTATAGCATTTCTTCTAACAGAGTTGGACCATCTCAGAGCAAGCAATAAAAAGGTACAATGTAGAAAATCTGGTAATCGGACACTATGGTTTTAGCTATTGACCTTCTAAATTTCTTTGTTGTCCATCATAATTCAGTTTTATTGTGTACTTTAATCTTTTGAACAGTAGCTTTATGTTGGTGCCTGCCATGCCATCAGGGTAGGATTGAGTTGAGATTTGGCTATGAAAAGCAATTTCTTTGGCTTCCTGCCTTTTGCTGGTCTGTAAAATCACTTCCTTTTTTCATAAATCTGTGGTACCTTGAGCAGTTACCTTAAAAAATATATTCATTCAAGTTTTATTGTGGTAAAACTTTATTTAAGTATTACGGAGAATGAGAAATTTATTGCACTGGGTTTCATGTTACTTTTTTTTTCTTATTAGTGTTTTGTGCCTTGTATTTCACCTTAATAACATATGTAATTGAACTTTAAAGTAGCAAAGCTTGGCAATATTGTCATTTACCTTGAGTTATACTGCTGCATTTTTGCCCAATCCAATTTATGTCGTGTTCTGACTATTTATAGTTTCATTCCTTTGAGCATTAAATAATGTTCATTTTTTGTACCTTTTTTTTTTTTTTAACCTCTACATACTTTTCTGACTTTATTCTAGTTGTTTGACCTGATCAAACTGAAGCAATATGTTAGGGATCTTGGTCATGTCTGATGGAAAAAGAACTCAAATGACCAAAGCCAAGTTAGAAATTTGAAAAACAAAAAATAAAAAAAACATTTGGAGGGAATCTGTACGAGAGCAGGAAATAGTTTCTGTACTTTCATTTATCAGTTATGTATTACATGCCAATTGTGAAACAGGCGCCAGTTACCAATTTAAATGGAATATGATGGGATGGCATTCTCAAAGAGAGATTTGTTTCAGATATTAAAATTATCTTAATTTTGTTTCAAAATATTAGAATTACTTGGAGAAGCTGTAAAGCTGTGCTGTCCTTTTATTTTTGTTTTTTTAGAACTTCTACTTTCAGACAATAGAATGGGTCAGATTGCTTTTTGCAGTAGTTATTTTTAATAATTATGTTGCTCCTTCTTTAATTCCTTTTGTCTAGACACATAAATTAAGTTTCTATCATATAGTTTTTATAATTCCTATGTCGTTAAATGTAATTATTAATTCATAAAATACCTTAAAACCTTAAATATAGTGAGGGTTTTTTCCTTGGAGTTATGTGTTTAGGCAGGTAAATGTAACGTTATTTTTAGAAAAAAAACAAAATTTTACTTTGGGATTAATTATATTTGTGCAAGAAATTTCTCAGATAAAAATCTATTTTTTTTTCAATGTGGTTAAGCTTCAAGAAAAACTGATTAAAGAAGATAAAGAACAGAGAAAACTAAAGCTTAAGCTGGAACTCCAAGAGAAAGCAGCAGAAGCTCAAATTGCTGAAAAGACCGCAGGTATGGTAGATAAATATTAACATATGGCCTTAAGAAATATACACAAGGCTATTATATTATATGGCTTCGTGAAGACTACCATACTAGCTTATTTGCCAAAGGAGGGGAGGCTCTCTTTTTTTTTTTTGGCTTCTTAGAAAATAGGTAGCCTTAACATCCTGGTACTGGTATTAGTAAGAGCTTTACCTGTATTCATACTGATTTGGGCATTAAATGCATTGTTAACACCATGTCAATCCAATCACAAAAAGGTTGTTTGTTTTGTTGGAAGGGCCTGAACAAACAAGGGGAAATAATGATTACCAGTGCCTCTACCTTTCAACCAGCAGTTCAAATACCACTTATTGTTTTAGCTCAATGAGAGGAAATATTCCTCCTTTGTATGAAGACAGTCATGTATTCATTACCAGTGAAAACCTACATTTGATTTAAAAACCTGTTTTGTGCAATTAATAAGTTTTTATCTGATGATATGGATGATGATGGAGATAATGTTTTCTCTGAGATTGACGTGAAGGGCTGCCAAAGTTTAAGATTATAAATGACTGCCTTAAGTATGTTTCGGAGCCTATCTTTATTCACAGATTCTTTGCAAGGAGAAATTTATTTAATGCATCTGTGACGTGTTACAGACATGATCAGATGACTCTCATACTTACATACATATATGTGTATACACACACACATATGTATGTCACTGTGATTCTTCCTCACACTATTTTAGTGTGTTAAGAAAAGAGAAATTTCATAGAATAATAGAAATTAACATTCAGAGGCATTTTAGAGATTACTTATTTTAACAATTTTATATTTTTAGAATGATTTTGATAAAATAATTGTATTTTGTTATTAGTTTGAAATTGTAATTATACTTTATGAGCCACTTAGCCTTTGGTGCATATACAAAAGAATTCTGGTATTTTCTGTCAGAGACATTAACAGATATAGCCTGTCTTCCAAATATTACTGTGCAAAGTAAAACTAAACATCACTATGCAAATACAACCAAAGTGACTATAAATAAACACTCCAGCTAAATACCAGATGGTTGCTTTTCTACTAATGTTAAAATTCTATGAATTTGGGAGGAGGGGCTTTTTGTGGGGAAATATGAGAGTAATATATTAAGGAAAAGTAACAGTATGTTAAAAATGGATAATGCAAATATAAATTTAGAACAATTTGAAAGTCTCTTGACTTTTTATATTGAATATATGCAGTGTCATAAAAAAATATGATGACTGTTTAAATAAAACAATTTATTGCCATAAAAGACACAGTGCCATTAATCCCCCTTAGAATACTCGCCCTCACTTAGAACACACTTATCCCATCGTTCTTGCCACTTTCTGAAGCAGTTCTGAAAGCCCTCTTTTGTGAGTATCTTTAGTTGTGCTGTTGTGGCTGCCTCAATATCCTGAATTGATGCAAAACGTTTACCTTTCACGGTCATTTTGACTTCTGGGGAAGAGTCAGAAGCCGCATGGTGCCAGATCCGGTGAATAAGGTGAATGAGAACACACCGTAATGTTTTTATTTGACAGAAATTGCCGTACCAGAAGCGATGTGTGACACAGA